TTTATCGCTCCGGGTAAAATCGTGGTTTTACTATATCGAATGTCACGGAGGGCGTAGAACAAGGTGTTATTTTCTCACTCCTTTTGTTTATATGTTTCGAATTTCAAGCATTCTGATTGGTCAAGGACGCAAAATGTAAACAAACGCGCTGATTGGCTAACATTATTTACCCTTGTTTATAAGGCTACTCTTGCAATGTATATTGCTGATATATGAAGTTTTGTAGGTCCATGACATGGCTATGTAACAAGCAAATAAACTCTGAAAATTTCGAACGAATTGATTCAGTATGAACAGTAGGAGAGTTTTTAGTATTTCGCAAAATGCTCATGTGAGAAAAGCGATTTTAAAGTTTTTGCATATATTAGAATAACTTAGATAGAACTATTAGACTTTTACCCTACGAAGGTGTAGAATTTGCTGGATTTCTCTGGTTTACGGTACATTTTCGTTCTTAAAATTACACTGATTTTATAAAGAACGCTATAAAGACTACATTTTTACGTTTTTCTAAAAAATAACGAATATTGGAAAATTTGGGTGGAAGACCACCTTAAACTCACAAATTTTGAGCAAAGAATATATTTCTCTTTTAACAGGAAATGTTAATTCTAGCCTGACATGGCAGAATCTCATGAACGATCACAAGTACGAATAGGCGATCCCGATGTTGATTTGGAACTCTCAAATACCAGAATAAGATTAAGATTCGGATGCAGAACAAGTATCGTAGCTATACTGGGTGAAACAGGCGTTACACTAGGAGCCATTTTTGGCAAAGAAAAAATCAAATCTATTGTTGAAAGCATATGCATTTCTGTTTTTGGTATTTGCCGAGTTACAGAAGGATTCACACTTGTCGATGTTGACTGTTTTACAGTAGCGCGTGTGAAAGAACTACTAGATAGTTATAAGTGTGGAAATATCAAAAGAAGATTTCTGGAAGAACTACGAAAGATTGGCGGTATTTTGGAAGATTTAAAGATAACATTCGAGGTCAAGGAAACTTTGGAACTAAATAGAGATGGCAAGCTAAGGTTTGTTTCATTCTATGATCTCAAACACATTCAAAATTCATTAGTAAATTAGCCAACCATATTGCTTTATTTTGCTCACATTATAACACTGGATACCTCGTGAAATATATTGATCCAAGTTCTGGATTGAAGTTAATTGAGTTCTTGGACTGGATCAAAATTGGTTCACCACACTATAATTTAAGGAGTGATTTATTGGTGTGAGATGACTACAGCCTGCTCGCAGCCCGAAATTGCGTGCAAAGGAAAACCGGAAATTTGGGTCTGCTAAATATGGAAATAAGTAACGCATATTGATTGGTTTAATAGCCAAGTCAACCTAAGCCGCGTCATGATTGGCTTAAATTTCTGAATTGATTTTATAATGTATTCTGCGATAACATTATTTCGTCTTACAACACCCGCGTCTATGTGAATGACGGTCTTGGAAGTATTTGTTCGACATGTGTTTAAACGTCTTGTCTATCTTGTTGCCTTTTATGTTTTCATTTCTGGTAAACCGCTAGTGAGCTCCGCAACAATCAAGTAGGCTTGATCTTTTTCGAAATTTGACTAAAAACTGTCGGCAGATATAATCAGGGGCGTACCGAGGTCATTAGTGTATTTCCCTGAATTTAACAACGAAAAATTTTTGCCCTAAAATCTTGCCGAGGGGAAGAAGGAGGGGGTTTATTACCATGTAGTGACAACTGCGCCTTAAAAATTTCCCGATTGCGAACAGGTCGTTCATTAATTTTACCGAACATTTTAGTCTGTAATGTCAATTTACCGACGATTGTATCAATTTACCGACCATTTTCAAAACTTTACCGACAATTATAAAAAAAACTGAGGGTGTCATCCCCCCCTCCCCCGGTACGCCTCTGGATATAAGCCGAAGAAATATCCGATACCTACGAAAGATAGTTGCTCGAACTTACATCGTATAGTTTGTTGTTCCTTTAGTTATTTGTTATTTTCATTGCGAATATACTCGGAGGCTTCGACGAGCGCTTCCCTAAATGGAATGCGCTTGATTGCCGATTGCCGAAGGTTGAATTACAAAAACAAAGTACTGCTTGATCAGTGCAAACAACCTCTTTCAAGTTCAACAAGCATATAACTTGAACCATACACATTTAAGTCATCTTCACGATCATAACACTAAATATTCAATTCATAATTCGGTATCTGTTTCAGAGTTGGATATAATGCCGCCGAAGCAGCAGGAAATAAAATATAAACAAAATCGCGCAATGCATCCTCGTTGACAATGACATGTACAGTTTAAGTAATTTATGCAAGCAGTTCTGACGTCACGGAACATGATTATGTTCGCACTTTAGCAGACCCCTAATTTTCCGCTTCAAAGTGGCTGCTGAGCAGGAAAACTGAATAATCCTGGCCAAAACGTTGTGGACAACCCACAGACATTGCAGGCCTCGAATGGCGTTTTTCCTAAACAATTATCCCCCGCTCCCCCAAGTCAATGTTGAATGGGATTTTTCATCAAGTAAGAAATGTAGATAATTTAATTTGGATATGCAAGAGGGGGAGTGGGGGATAGGCGAGTAAATTCAAGTTTTAGCTGATTTTTGGCCTGGATTGTAGATTATGAGCTGGATTGTAGATTTTGACTCAGTGTATTCCAGTCTAGCTCATAGTCAGTGGCGGAAATTCACTTTTTCCAGTGGGGGCGAAGCCTTCTAAATTTCCGACAAAACTTTCAAATTTCCGACAAACCCCTCCCAATTGCACTCGAAAAGGCTGTTTTTAGCCCTCTTATAGGTCAAAATTTCCGAAAATTCGTCATTTTCCACGAAGGTGGAGGGTGGGGCGGCCGCCCCCCCCCCCCGCCCCACCGAGATCACCGCCACTGCTCATAGTTGGATTTGAAGTATTACTTAACGTCGCGGGAATAAAATATTTGAAAACGTCAATTTAATTAAGGACGCATACAAAGTAAAGAAAAATTCGCTTGTTTAATCCTCGTGCGTTGGCTTAAAATGTATGTCACGTTAGCCGTTTTCTTCGGGTATATATTTTTTCCCAACACCTAGTGAAATTTGAATCGAGCGGTTACGAGCTAGGCTACTGTTCAAATTTTGATAAATTATTTATTTATCCTGTAGCTTGTAAATTTTAAGAAACGATTGCAAAATATAGACCAAGGCTTTTAATTATTTAGGCTAAGGGCTATTTTACGAAACGCCGTTTAGGAGACTAGACTTAATTTAACGCGTTTTCAACTAAGGAAATTTTTGCAACGTTTTTTAGCTATGTTTGGTAAAACTTGTTTTCAATTTTAAATTGCGACAGCAACAGTGAAATTTCATGTCAATAATGGTTATTTTGCGTTAGCTAAATATTCGGTATGAATGCCGCAGTTGTTCGAGGTGTATTGGCATAGGTACGATGGATTCGAGTGCACAATTTGGATAAAATATGCACGAGTGACTGTTTCAAAGAGCATTAAACAGCGCGAGACCGATGGACGAGTGCTATTTGAGGTGGTTGAAAAACTCACGAGTGCTTGCAGTTTTATCCAAAATTCACAGGAAACCATCCTATAACGGATCAATGATATATATGAAAATGTTCGAGACAATTAACGGTCGAAATTGCATTTTTCCACCGTTGGGAATTGGATGTAAAAAAATTGAAACTTAAATTCCAGGTAGTTGAATAGCCTCGTCCGGGATTTTATCACACAGCCATGTTTCGGTGACAAACACCAGGTTGGATTTATATAGTTCCACTAAGTTTGCCAGCTGGTTCGTTTTACTAGCTAGAGACCTTGTGTTTAGGATCAAAACGTTCGGTAACCTTCGTTCATTGTTAGAATTTGGTATATCTTGTGAATCCACTAGAGGGATACGTATTAAATTATTCCTGATCGATCTCTCAAAATAATTTAGTTTTAGTCTTTTTCTATCCTAACGGGTATAGGTTGAAAATGGGTAAGGGGGTTGGATGTGTTAAAACAACGGGGGGTAGGCAGTGAGGATTCATGTGATTCTCTCTCATTTTCTTTAGAATTTACTTTGTCGTCAGCCGGCGAACAAGATCTAAATGCGCCAACCATTCCGCTCCTCGAACATGAGGCAAGGGTGGGGGACGCTCCAAAAAGCTCAGCCGAAAAGGACAGTTATTAGCATTGTCACACTCAGACATGCATTCGTCACCGTCTAAGACAATAAATTCAGAGATATCAGCTGGTATTTGGCCAATGCACACATGCTGAGTAACTGTCTCAGTGTAATGTATGATATCCTAAGATACTGGATGATATCCAAAGATATTGTATGATATGCTAAGATATTATTATTATTATTATTATTATACAATATTAGATACTCCCAATTGGGCTTTTCAGGATCTAATTACAAATATAAAATTCTATATCTATAAAAGTATCTAAAAATGAATTTTGAGTTTTGACCTAAGGTATAAAATAGGCTAT